AAAGGGCTATCTATTATCTTAAAACGAAACAAGTCTTTGTTAAGATATAGACAATTAGTAAGTATCCTGTGCTGAAACCATCTTAGTTTTGTCTCTATTGTGATTTTATTGATCAAGGAAAATGCATTTCCCCAATCAATCTGGTGATACGTAGGAGGTTTCCACCTTCTTAGTAACTAATTTACAATACACTTGCTTTGTAGAAATCTTATTGATATTGATTACCTTATCATTTAATGATATTTCTTGAATTGCTGGAGATACATCTAATATTTCAGAATTTAAATTTTGTTTCAAAACTTTTTGCCACTGTACTGGAATAGCCTTGATAAGACCCATTCACACTAACCAATCAGTATTGGTTAAACCCTTTTTAGCTGCTACCTCCCATTGAAATCCTTTTCCCAAATTCCAAAGGTCATCAAGAAAACCTATTTCACAGTCCAGGAGACGTTTCATGTTATATGGATCACACGTATATTTGATAAAAGTGTTTGTTCCACAGTGGTTGCTTTAAGATAGTTCCCAAATCTTCATTATCTATTTTTTGTATAGCTTACTTCTGCCCAAACCTTAAATACGTTCTTATAAAATAAGAACGGCATGTCGCGCGGTGTCTTATTGCTATCGTAAWTTATGTGTATAGACTCGATGCCCYCGATGCTTTGTAATTTCATTAAAGGTATAATTTTCCATTATCTACTTGTACCATCCTTGAATCTCACTGCCCATTTAAACATACTCGCCTTAATCTTATTTTCAAAATCAGCAAGTTTCAAACCCCCCTCTTCATACGAGCCTACCAGTGTTTTATACTTTACTTTYTGGTTTTCTTCCATTCCATATGAAATTAGCCACCTTATTCTTAACTTACTTAATAAACCTTTTATTGGMTCCAATTGCCGAACAAACATAAAGAAGTTTGGATAGACCTATATTCGAATATTCGAATATTGTAATGTAGTAAGGAGTGTGCATGGAGGATACACGGCCCCACAAGCTTCTAGCTTTATTGCATACCGTGTATGAATAAAAAATAATAATAATAATAAAGATTTATCGACTTAATTACTTGTATTTTTCCTATTGGAGTGAGCATTCTGCCTTTCCAAATAGACAAAGTAGTTTTGAAGTTTTCCAAAATTCTTTCAAAATTGTTGGTATTGTAATAGTTATAGTTATAGGAGAAGTATATACCTAATATCTTAATCCCAGATTCATAGAAATCTATCCATTTCAGATTATAGAGCTCAGTTCTCGCATGGGTCATGTCCACATGTGTGTCTTTCGGGCCTAGCCACCCTATTTCAGATCTCTCAAGGTTGATTTTAAGTGATGAATACTGCTCAAATACGTCCAACTTCTCTAAGGTTTTCATCAATGAATTGATATTTTTTAAGAAAAATGTTATCTCATCAGCAAAAAGGAGCATTTTCGTCTCGTCTTCCSTTAACTTTATGCCAATTTTTTCTTTATTTTGCCTAATCATTTGCCTAACAGGTCTCCCTGTTTAGTTCCTCTTTCTACATCAAAAAAGTCTGTGGCAGTTCCATTATTCAAAATGCAGCTTTGTGTGCCTGAGAGTAACATACGAATCCATTTTATAAACTGGTCCTCGAATCCAAAATGTTTCAATGTCGAAAAGATAAAATTATGCTCTATATTGTCGAAAGCCTTCTCAAAATRTGCTGCAAATAGGAGGCCCGACTCTTGTTCTTCATTTAAATGCCCCATTAAGTCCTCTATAAACCTTATTGGCTCGTCAATGTTACTATCCTTAACATAAGCAGCCGCCTGATTGGGATCGATGATAGTTGGCAAGATGTTAATAAGCCTATTGGACAATGCTTTGATACAAATTTTAACGTCGACATTGATTAAACTTATTGGACGCCAATTCTTTAAATATCGTACATCCTTTCCTTGTTTTTCAATTAAYTTAATAATGGTTTGTTTTTGTAAAGTTGTAAGGTGACCCTTGTCTGGACCATCATTAAGACATTYCACAAGTATTGTGCCTACGGTTTCCCAAAAAGTACATTAAAACTCCTTCGTCAGACCATCATTACCTGGAGTTTTTAAATTTTTCATATTTTGAAGTGCATCGTAACATTCCTTTTTTGTTAAAAAAAACAAACATTGCATTTACTAGGTTCATCTTGAGTGATTTTTGGTGTTTTAACATTTCTAAACATTCTTCTTCTGATCGATCATTTTTGGATTTATATAATCTCTCAAAGTRATAAGCGACCAAAAGATTCTRGATTCTCTGTGGTTYCTTAATTTCATGATCATTCTCAGTTATTTTCCGTGCATGTGTTTTGGCTCTATTACGCTTTTCAAGGGATAAGAAGTACCTGGTACTCTTTTCCCCTTCCTCGTACCATCTACATTTAAGTCTTAAAATGATACCTTCTGTTTTATAATTACTGTATTCATTTAATTCGCCTCATCGACCTCTCATCGACCT